CCCCCCCCCACCGGCTTCCCTGCCAAGGGGCGTGAGCTGGGCCAGGCGGACGATTGCCTTACTCATAGGTCCGTGTCCTGCAGACACCCCTCCCCCGCCCCAGCCGAAGGTTTCGAGAACTTGCTGAGACTGGCTGATGTTTGCCCAGCGTGCGCTCCCCCCTTCCGGCCCCCGCGGCCAGGCTGGCGGCCTTGTGCTTGTGGACACCCGGGGCAGAGGCCAGGCCGCGGGGCAGCAAGGGGCCTTCGTGGACTTGGGGAGGGTGGGAGTTCTTAACGGACGTGTGCGTGGAACACGTCTGCTCCACGGGGAAACCCCGGCCCTCTCACCCCCCAGGGTTCAGTGTGGTGATGAACCCCCCATTTCCCAGCCGTCTCTGAGCTGCCAGAGTGGCCCTGTTCCAAGACTCTCTCGGGTCACAGGGTCGGGTTGCCAGATGGTTTTATACAAATAGCGAACCCCAGAAAAACGCCGGGAAAAAATTCTGTTGACCAAAAAAAAGAAGGGGACCTGGGGCCCGGGGTGGCCCCTTTGATTCCTGGGCTGTGCTCCCCACTCCCTCCGCCACAGTCAGTGCAGGCTGCATGTCCCACGCGGCCTTCAGTCAGGTGCCCGAGCTGGGCCTTGGGAAAACGGAAAATACCGGACATGTTAACCGTCCAGTATCTTTGGAATTGTTTTACGGCACGGAGGGCGCAAATACCAGGTCCAATACTGGACACCTGGCAACGCTAGGCAGGGGCTGGGATCAGGCCTGATGAAAGAAACGGGATGAATAACATCGTCCAACTGGCAGTGTCATTTCAGGGGTCTGTCTGTGCCTCCCTCGCCCGGAGCACGAAGGGCAAGGTCTGTACAAAGAGGGGAGCAAACACAAAGCTACTTTCCCGTGTCACCCTCCCATTAAAATCTCATTAGCGCTGTCCCTGGAGAGCCGGGCGTGGCATGGGGCTGTCCCTGGAGAGCCGGGCGTGGCATGGGGCTGTCCCTGGAGAGCCGGGCGTGGCATGGGGCTGTCCCCCACCCAACAGCAGCTTTGGACTAGTCAAACAAGCGGAGGGATTGCTCACAGCTGCTGAGGCCAGTGACTCGCCAGCCCGACCTGCATGGCCCAGGGCTGAAGAGGGCCCAGCGCTAGAGGCGAGGGGAGGGCTGTCTTAGCAGGGCCTCTTTTAGAGCTTTGCTGGACGTGGGGTCTCCACCCCAGCCTTGGAGTTTGTTCCAGGGCCGGTCATGCTGCCCTCTCCAAACAAGCGGAGGGATTGCTCACAGCTGCTGAGGCCAGTGACTCGCCAGCCCGACCTGCATGGCCCAGGGCTGAAGAGGGCCCAGCGCTAGAGGCGAGGGGAGGGCTGTCTTAGCAGGGCCTCTTTTAGAGCTTTGCTGGACGTGGGGTCTCCACCCCAGCCTTGGAGTTTGTTCCAGGGCCGGTCATGCTGCCCTCTCAGCAGTCCCCTCTGCAGACGTGGCTGAGTTCAGCTGCCCCCCCCGCCACTCCTGCCGTGGCCCCCGAGCGCTGACTACGGGCTGAACTGCGTTCGGAGGGCGCAGCTGTGGCCTAACGCAAGGCTGCGCATTCACACACACAGGCTGGCGTGCTGCTTTAT